CCCAATACCAACAACTTTTCCCTCTACCAAGAAGGTAGTTATTCCCCATACCATTTCACTAAAAATCAATCTATCCACAAACTTAGCACAGTGGTGTTCTACGACTTTCTGGTGTTATACATACTTTTGTAAAGTACTTGGATTGCAAATTTTCCTCCCCTGCCATTACATGTTGACTTTTTTTATTATACTAATATGAAAAACACAAATTAAAATGATTGAAACACTGGAGCAACAGCAGAGGTAACCATATCAGTCGACCATGTTTTATCTTTAAAGTGTGAATGGTTGCTGTGGACAACAGCACCACTTTGAGTTCATTTTGCTTTATGTTTGGTAAGCCCAGATGTGTTTTATGAGTCACTCAACAAGACTTTATTTGCACAGTTCAGCGGCTCTCCTCAGTCACATGCATCGGTGGTGGCTCATGAACTTGGTCACATCCTTGGAATGAACCATGATGATACCGAGTGTAAAGGGAGCTACATCATGCACAGTGCAGACATGTAAGTTTGATGGTAATGTATAAGCAGCCAGAGTACAGTTACAACTGTACCCACGTGCCTGTATGGCTTTTCTATCCAGAAATGTTTGAATTATCTGCAGAAAGTGGTTATGCCATGACTACATTTATGAAGTCATGGCATACCCACATTAAAAGAAATGTATATTATTTGTGTATCACTCGGATGTAGATCCTCAAATCATCTCTGAATTGTTGCTGACACTGCCCTTCCTTCTGGAGGGGGGCTACTTTTGTTCCCCATGGTCCCTGTGTGTGTTGTAAAGTAGTCACCGCCCCAAGTTCACCCACGTAATGGACTACAATCTCATGTTTAGTTTACTAATTTGAATTGAGATTGTAGCCCATCACGGGAGTGAACTTGGAACGGCAACTACTTTACAACACACACAGGGACCATGGGGAACAAAAGTAGCCCCCCTCCAGAAGGAAGGACAGTGTCGGCGCCAATTCAGAGATGATTTAAGGATCTACAGCCGAGTGATACACAAATAAGATACATTTTTGGTACGAGTTAAAGGAGAACTATGGGGTTAAGGCTTTTCCCCATAGTTCTTCTTAGGGTAACGGGAGGACACAAACTAGCGTCCTCCAGTCACCCTAGGCTCAGTATACCGCGAGCTGCTGCTCGCGGTATACTGAGACGCCGCAGCTGAAGCGGATCCCGACAATTATGTCTGGATCCGCCCAGCTGCGTGACTGACAGCTGGCTCTGCCTATCTAGAGGCAGAGCCAGCTGTACCGGCCCCCTCCCCCGTCCGTTCCACCAGTCAGCGCTGGCGGATCGGAGAGGGGAGTGGGGAATCCAGCCTCTCCCCTGTCAGGGCAGAGAGCCGTGACAGGATCGAGAGGTGAGCGAACGCCGTTATGTGTTCGCTCACCTCCCGATCTACTGAGCCGACCTGTGACAGTCTCATTGTCACAGGTCGGCTAGAACTATGAGGTGAGTGAAAAGCATTCACCTCATAGTTCTCCTTTAAGGTACTTAAATGCACTTTTAAGTTTTAACTCCTGAGTTTAGTGTCACGTTCAGGTAGTCGATCAAAAGTCATGGCTGGTAGATTGCTTGGTTTCAGGCAACCTCTTCCAACAGCATGTTCGACGCCCTGTCTATGGAAGGCTTTTGATAGTGCCACTGGTTTGTCGGTCTTCCAAGGGCTGTCATAGATTCTGCTACCATAGAAAATAACAGGGGAATGAGCTGTGATTTTAGAGCCTTGGTTGTGAAATTTGAAGTTGAATGTTTCCACAATGCCTATAGCTACAGAGGAAAGGGAATGCTTGTTTTAAAGTGCTTTTACTGTTTGCTCAGAATATGTAAATACTTTAATGTGCATAGTCTGGGCACAGGTTTACTTTAAGCTCTTTCAAATACTGATTAAATCACGTGCAATGGATGTTGTTCCTTGATGTTCAGAAGTTTTAGTTTCCTGCAGAATCAGCTGGTCCCCTGAGCATTGGCTCTGATATCCTGTTTCAGGGTGGCTCCTTCACCTTGCACCCTTGTGTGTGCTACTAAGTTGTGTACGTCTACAAACATACAGATACAGCAAGGCAAGCCATTCCCCTCCTTCCTGTTCCCTGCTACTACTCCCACCTTGGTGTCTATGAGGCATTACAAACAGTTCTCATTCCAGACCCCAAAATATGGCTTAGGTAGACAGAATGTGGTCCTAGGCAGTATGGACTGTCTGCGTTATCTGCCACCCTCTACTCTGACATGTACTGATTTTCTTTTCCAGTGGTGCAAAAACATTCAGTACCTGCAGTGCTAATGACTTTGGGTCACTAATCCAGAGAGGTGGAGGAGACTGCCTTCGTAATCCTCCCGACCCTGACCAGGTCCTGAGCATCCCAGTCTGCGGGAACAACCTAGTGGAAAAAGGAGAAGAATGCGACTGTGGATCACCACAGGTAAGGCGCAAGCTGCATGTCTGGTGAGGCACGTGGTCGTTGCAGCCCTGTCTTTACCTAAATGGGCAACTGCAATAAGCTTTACATAAGTATGACTGCACAATTTTAAAACGAAAAAAAAGAATTTGGGGAATTTTAAATATTAATCCTTGCAGTGGGGCTACCCCTGCGCTGCAAGGGTTAAGTGCTCTTTTTGGTCTAGGGTTGAAAAAGATATACTCACTCAATTCCACCTGGCTGCTAGACTGGTGCCCACAATCTCTTCTGCCCTGGGCTCCATTGATCTAAGTACCACTATTGTCATCATGTACAGGTCCATTGACTTGCCTTGGACATGGAGCAGAGTGGAGAGAGGTGAGTGGGCACCATAGTTCTTCTTTAAAAGAAAACCTGGCACTGATCTAAAAATAAATACAGGTAAAAACATAGCCAAATCAAGTCTTTTAAAAGCTTCTGTGTTGTGTTTTTTGTTTTCCATAAATAGTTATGTAGCTGCCATGGGAGGGGCAAAAAGGCAACACTATATAGAACAAGGGTCAGCAACCTGTCAAGTGCGGCCATGTGATGGGTACAACAGGGTCTCTTTAAGACTGAATATTCAAATTGTTGCAGAATCCCAAATGTGACCGGCTGACAGCTTTATTGATAACTAAAAAAAAATGTCTGGATTTGTGGTTTTAGCTTTGTAGAGAAAATTGTAACAGTTGGAATATCTGCTTAATATTTTGTTTTAGGATTGCAAGAACCCGTGCTGCAATGCTGCCACCTGCAGGCTAACTAGTGGATCGCAGTGTGCCCAGGGATTGTGCTGTGACAATTGCAAGGTAAACCTGGACTCTAATTCTGTACCGCGCAAAGAGGAGATATAAATCTGAGTCTAATTCTGCACAGCACTAAAGCTGGCCATACGCTGCTCAAATTTCAGAAGATTCAGCGGAAATTTGGCCATGGGTGGCCCTATAAGCACGCCGTAGCTTGACAGACTACTGTACAATGACATAATCAAAGGAACCTGATGGATAGTTGTGAACTGAACACTGACTGCCTTCCTGCAGCCACAGTCACTGTATTCAGACAGCTATGGGTGCTGGCTATCAAAATACAATAGCCGCCAGGGGAGAATCAAAATTGTTGTTTTCTTTTTAGATCTATCTAAATTTTTGGTTCCGATCAATCCAAATTTTTCGTTTTTGGTTTGGAACAATTCGGATGGGGTTCTTTATTTTAAAAATAACTTTTTGGGGGGAGGTTTTTTTTTGCTCCTTTTAGTTCTGTACTGGTCCAGCTCTTCTCACACCTAGGCGTATCGAATATGCGCGTTTGTCGTGTGTTTCATGACACGCGTTTTTACTGCGATTCGAGGTAAAAAACGTGCGACAATCGTGCGTTTCCGAGGGCTACTTGGCTGTATCCCAATGGAAACGCATGACAAAAACGCGGCAAAGGAGCTCCTGTACCTTTTCAGGCATAGGCCATTTTGTAGCGCGTTCAGACGGGCTGAAATACGGCAAGGTGTGAACCATACCCATAGAAAACAATGGGATTTTCATGTTTGAGCGTTTTGTAGAGCGTTCGTAGAGCGTTGAACGCGCTACAGAACGTACAGGTGTGAACCAGGCCTTAGTCCGTACTAGTCCTCTTATTCTGTACTGATAATCTTAGTCCATATTGGTCTTCTTAGTACGTACTGGTCATCTTAGTACAAACTGGTCATCATATTCCATATTGGTCCTCTTAGTACGTACTGATCATCTTAGTCCGTATTGCTCATCCTTAGTCCGTACTGGTAATTTTATTCCGTACAGGTCCTCTAAGTCCATACTGGTCATCTTATTCCGTACTGGTTCTCTGAATTCGTACTGGTCCTCTTAGTCTGTACTGGTAATCTTATTCCGTACTGATCCTCTTAGTCCGTGCTGGTCATTAGAATTGGATAGCAGGACATTCAGGGAAAAAAAGAATTCGATTTATTTGAATTCAGATGCATCCAAATGCCCGAATTTAAAGAAAAATAAATGATTGGTTCATTGATCATTTGCTGTTTTATTTTTTTTATATTACATAAGTGTGGGAATTCTCTACTAAAGCCGATACCAACATGCCAACTTTTTGTATAAAAAAAAACTGTGCAAATTACTAGAGGCTTCATATATAAAAGTTCCAATCCACTGTATATCCAGGCAGGTGCTGTTCTGATGGCACTAGTTCCCCTGGATGGTGCTAACAAGTGTAGGAATTTCCTATACTCATCAGCACCATATAGGGGGCGCTAGTGCTGTGTGAACAGCATCTGCCCAGATGTACCCTGGGTGGAACTTTAAAGGTACCGGAATAGGCACGCGATCATATAAACTGTTAAAGTGTCGAACTTATACAGCTGTGTGATTATTCTGGTACCTAGTAATTTGCTTAGTTCTCTAATACTTGTGCTGTTTTATAAAAAAAAAAAGCCTCTACGACAAAATGATTGCATAACTTTTATTACTTCAATTCTAGATTGCAAAATATCCTGGGTTAGTGTTGCAATGCTGGCGAGGTGTGTTTGTGTCTATGAATAGTTACTTTGTGGTTTCATTGTATTCCCTTTCTTACAATTTCAGTTCAGGGTGGCTGGCACACCTTGCCGCCCCCAGGCTAACTCATGTGACTTTCCGGAGTATTGCAATGGCTACTATTCCTTGTGTCCTGTGGATGTTTATGTCATGAATGGCTATCCCTGTAATAATGGCCAATATTACTGCCATGGTGGCGTTTGCCAGACCTTTGATGCACAGTGCCAGGCTTTGTTTGGACCAGGTAAGTTGGTTGTGAATGTAATTTTATAATTTCAGGATTTATGGAATATGAATAGATTGTTTTTTCCAGCAGTTAAAAAAACCATCAGACTGAAAGTGAGACTTGTATTGCTGTGCCAAAGTATACTTTACCATTAAAGCCTGTTAATGTCTCTGCTAGAATGTTTATGACAGTAGTTATATGATGGCACTTAATTAAAAGTCTCTAGCTTAAAGTGCAGCTGAAGACAAAACTTTTTTTGAGATTCGCCCCCTCTACTTGTCCTGGTGACTGTTACCACTGAAAGTGAAAGAAAATCCCAAATAGATGGGAAATCTTCCAATGGGGACACTAGTTCTGGTGATTCTACTGACCACTAGGGATTTCCCTTCCTTTGGAAGGATTTCCTGTTGGGGCTATTGGACAAGAAGTGAAGGGATATCTCCTCAAAGGGACACAGATGCCAAAAAAGCAGTCATGGGGTATTACCCTCCCTTACTGTATATGAAACTAAAATAAAATAAAAAAAATGTTGGCTTCAGTTCTACTGTTTATGACAGCTAATTAGCCATGTATTTTATTTATTTATTTATTTATTTATTTATTACAGGTATTTATATAGCACTGTAAATGTACGCAGCCCTTTTCATACTGCACATTCACATCAGTCCCTGCCCTTGAGGAGCTTAATATCTAAGCTCCCCATCTCACATGCATACAGGTCCAATTTAGACAGGAGCCAATTACAACGTGAAACATTAAGATGTTTTGTAGATCATTATGGGCTAAGCAGCATTTATGATTCTGCTAGAAGTATGGTTTATTTAACTTGATCTGCTGGAGCTGGTTGTGTTCTAGGGTTGGGGAGTTCAATCTGATAATTTTGTTGCTGACTTGTGAATTCTGGAAAAATAAGGGTGTCACGGTGTTCGGTACGACTCCACATTCGCCTTACTCAGTTTGGGGTTCATCGGACCTCATTATTGTCACAAAGTTCATTTATCTTTGTCTGAAAGTGGTCATGTGATGTTTTCACATGAGAGGTCAGAAACTGTAACCACTGTAGACTGAATTAACCCCAAAACAGGATGGTGATTGTAAACTATAGAGAATTTAAAGTCACTGGGGGGAATTTACCAAAACTGGAGCAGACAAAATCTGGAGCAGCTGTGCTGGGCAACCAATCAGCTTCTCTCTTTCATTTTCAAATCTTACCTGAGCAAACTGAAGAGAGATGCTGATTGGTTGCCATGTCTGCTCCAGTCTTGATAAATCCCCCCCCCCCCCCTTTGTAAAACCAAGTTATATCTTACCCAGTTTTCTGCTCAAGATAGAGTAGCTATACAGTCTGGGACATGACACCTTAACAAACCTAGCTTTGATGTCTACTTCCTCCATTATATCATGGGTCATATATATGTTTTATATATATTCAGTGAGAATCTCCTCTGAGCTTTCTGCTTCCCAGAAGAAAGGAAAGATTCTGATAGACCAGCATGGTCTCTTGGCCCCACTGAGCAACCACCGCTTCCCAATGCAACTACCATTATTATATTGATATTATATTGATAGACAGTCTCCGGGGCTGTGCAGTAAAGTCTTCAGGTTCATGGACTGGGCAGCAGACAATGGTCATCATTACAGATAATTGTATCAGGGACCGGGTGGGTGAGGAGAGTGTTGTGAGTTAGTTCACTTTTTCATATTTTCTGAAAAGATGAACTAACTCTTTAAATGTGGAAGTTACTTCCTCTGTTGTAGCACAATGTCATAATAATGGCACTCCCTTCTGTACAGGTACAAGAAAATCAGTTGATGAGTGTTTCCAGCAAGTGAATAAACTTGGCACGCAGTATGGGAATTGTGGTATTGTGAATGGAGCTTTCAAGCGATGTTTGATAGAGTAAGTAACAGAAGCCTGTGTTAAATCATACATGAAGCCATGTCTGCCAACAACTAAAACAACTAAAATGTAACTGAGCTTCACCGTGCTCCACCACATCTATATAGCAAGTGCTCACAATCGAACCCATATAGAGCAAAGCCTTGTCTGCTTCCGATACAACCTGCCTATTTGAGTGTCTGAAAATCAGACATCGCAGTGAAGATTACTGAAATTGGGGGAAATTGGGTACTGGGGGAGCAGTAATGCATGCAGCCCCTCTGTCTGGTGACCGTACTCGGGCCTAGCGATAGCCTGCTAGACATAATCGCTGTCCATGGGAGAAGGTCACATCATGCTCCCCTATACCTGGAAGCACCAGATATTGTCACCCGGTGGGGAAGGTGGCAATGCATGGATCAGGGGGTCCCCTCCAAATAGACAGAGAATGTTTCTTTAACATTATCTGACTGAAAAAATGTATTTTTATTTGTATTACAAAGTGCTGGATCCATGTATTATTTGTCATTGTGTTCTGCCCACAGGAACAGTCTGTGTGGAAAGCTGCAGTGTTCAGGGACTTATAATGACAGTTTGGCGAGCAGCATCATAATCAATAATTTTGCAAATGTGAAATGTGTTGGAGCAGACTTCAACCTAGGCCCCGATGTGCCTGACCCGGGAATGGTGCATCAGGGGACAGCCTGTGGCCAGGGCAAGGTAACTGACCTTTGTAATGTGTGTGCTAAATTTATATTGTTTTTTTAGATCCCTACTTACAACATGTCCCACCGAGGTCACTTTTTCTCCGGCACACGGCACATTTCTGCCCGGTCACCTCTCTCGCTACTCGCAGGGCATCCCTTCCATATCACTTTACCTCTCACTCACAGGTCATCCCTTCCATGTCAACTTATCCCCCACTCACAGGTCATATTTCCATGTCACCTTATCCCCCACTCACAGGTCATATTTCCATGTCACCTCACCACCCACTCACAGGTCATCCTTACATGTCACCTCACCACCCACTCACAGGTCATCCCCCATGTCAACTTATCCCCCTCTTACAGGTCAACTTTCCATGTCACCTCACCGCCCACTCACAGGTCATCCCTTCCATGTCACCTCACCATGCACTCACAGGTCAACGTTCCATGTAACCTCACCACCCACTCACAGGTCATCCCTTCCATGTCAACTTATCCCCCTCTTACAGGTCAACTTTCCATATCGCCTCACCACCCACTCACAGGTCATCCCCCCATGTCAACTTATCCTCCACTCACAGGTCATATTTCCATGTCACCTCACCACCCACTCACAGGTCAACGTTCCATGTAACCTCACCACCTACTCACAGGTCATCCCTTCCATGTCAACTTATCCCCCTCTTACAGGTCAACTTTCCATGTCACCTCACCGCCCACTCACAGGTCATCCCTTCCATGTCACCTCACCACCCACTCACAGGTCAACGTTCCATGTAACCTCACCACCTACTCACAGGTCATCCCTTCCATGTCAACTTATCCCCCTCTTACAGGTCAACTTTCCATGTCACCTCACCACTCACTCACAGGTCATCCTTCCCATGTCACCTCACCTCCCAATCACAAGGCAGGCATCCCTCCTCAGTCACCTGATCTCCTTTTCCCATTTACTTCACATCCCTCCAAGGTCACTTCACCACTTTTGCATCCCTTTATGTCTCACTTCATTATCAGTGCTTAGTTTTCGACCACCTTCTTTTTGTTCATAGCTTCTACACTGTAGTAAATGCAATTAATGTAGAATTCTCATACAAATCAGCAACATCAGTATAAGACAAGTCCAGCGTATTACAGAAAATGCAGTTTGCGTGAATTTCAACATGTTACAATACATTTGGAGGGCCCATAGAGATTAATGGTAATGTAGTAAAATGCACATGTAGCACATATAATGTAGCATACAATGTGCCCATCAAGCATTGTTTCCATATTTCTAAAGGCAAAAGTAGCAAGCTGGACAAAAGCAGCAAAACATGCATCAGTTCTCAAGAACATATGACACAACACACATTATAAACAGCACAGGTGCAAATTCCAGTCTAAAGCAAGAATGCAATGTTTAAGTTGTTGTTTTTGAGATTGCAACGTAATGAACTTTCATGTCTTCCTGAAAAGGCCTGTGTCAACTATGAATGTGTGAATGACACTGCGCTGGGATTCAACTGTGACATCAAAGGGAAATGTAACGACCGCGGGGTGAGTATGGTGCAGCATTGTTCTGTCCTGGTATTGTAGCTGATTTTTACTGTAATTGCCAGCAAAATCATGTCGATTCTACACGCCAGCTTCTCCCACATTGTTGTACAATGAGTGAACACACATGGGATTTAATTATCACATACATAAATTGGAGGCCCGGGGACCCTGTCGCTTGACCATTCATTTCAAAGATCTTCCATTAAGGTTATATGTTCATTTAACATATTTAGGCATATTATTTAACTGTCATAGCTTCCCTTTTGTAGACATCCAAAAGCCCTGAGACTGCTGGTGGGTGCCACCATCTTGGATGTGATGTTAACAGCTCAGAGCTGTCAGTTAAGTGGCACTCTATAGTATTCCTCCCTCTTCCCTTGGAAGTTACATAGAAGCTTATGAAGGGAGGTTTCTAAGAATTGTTGGTAGAGTTATCTCACAGACACAGCTGTATCAAAAGCTCATCCACTGGATAGAATGAAACAAGCTAGTCAATTATTGCCATGGGTAAACCTGATTAGATCTCTGTCTGTCTTTGCAATATCAGACCTCTCTTAAAAGTTGAGTTGATTCTAATTACAACCAACAATCTCTTTATTTCACATCAGGTGTGCAACAACAATGGAAATTGTCACTGCAATGATGGCTGGGCCCCTCCAAACTGTGACAGGTCAGGCTACGGTGGAAGTATTGATAGTGGACCTACTCATATTGGTAAGTGGCCTTGAACATAGCCTGGCTATTGTTTCAGTGAGTGGTCAGACATTGCATGGATGTGGTTTTTGCATGGTAAATAGGAATTGTTACAGAAGTGATGGCTGGGCCCCTCCTTACTGTGACAGATCAGGCTATTGTGGAAGTATTGATAGTGGGTCTACTCATATTGGTAAGTGAGGTTGACCATAGCCAGGCTATTGTCTCAGTGAGAACAATGAGTAGTCAGACATTGCATGGATGTGGTGTTTTCATGGTGAAAACGTAACTTTCTTAAGTTTTATATCGGTTGCTCAGAGAATTGTAACATGTTGGATGATGTGTACAATAGAGAGCATCTCTAAATGCAACCCTAACCCTGATTCAAAATATTATTTACTGATTCTTGGAAATGGCTGTGCATAAACCTAGGCTTTTCTGCTGCGTCATTGATTGTATCCAAGGGCAATGGATAACAGAGTTGGGGAAAGGGTTGAACATACCATTTGAGCAGAGTGGACTGTACAGCTACTGAAGAGCCCTGTGGAACTTAGAGTCCCATTTATATTAGGTGTGGGTTTTGCAGATGCCCAGGTGAGTACCAGGAGGTATTCTTCATGAGGTCCCACCTTGCTCCTCGTTTATAATATGTAAGTGGTGTTAGACAGCAAGAACCTGCAGAATACTTCCGCTATGTCCTCATAATACCATCTGCACTGGAAGTGAAGGGGGTGTGTGTTGGCTAACCCCAGTTGTACATTATGAACCATGATAGTTTGCGATATCATAAAGACTACTCTTTATCTACAGTTTTTATCTATCAATATTCAGTGAGTCAGTGTTTCTACTTGGGCAGTAGTGGAATGAGGAGTCCACAAGTTGTTCTTGAACAAGGGCTCTTTGGTGACTTCATCCACAACTGCTTAGAGGCTTCCCAAGACACATAAGACAATTAGCCCAAATGGCTAGAAAAGCTATAGTATGAGCAGTACCTTAAAGAAAAGTAAATCCAATCCATTTTTGGGGGCTATCCTTCTCTTTTGGGTCATATAAGTACATTTACTAATACTAAATGTGCATTACATAATGTGCTAAAAAACCTGTGCCAGTGGTTATCTTGGCTCCTAGGGTGTATGGAAAGTCCAGGAACAGATAACAAGTGACTTACAACTTGTATTTTCTTCCCAGATACTTCATTACGTGATGGACTGCTGGTATTCTTCCTGCTGATTTTGCCCATCATCATCCTAGCCATTGTCATGTGGATAAAGCGCGATGCAATTAGAAGGAGGTGTTGCCGAAAAAAGAGAAGAAACAGGTACTTCTTGTAACCTGTGGTGCTAGTGTTGCAATATTTCTACTTAAAAATTTGGGACAGGATGGGACCAGGTTGGATGGAAAATTAACAGCTGAAGTTATATGCAAGGCTCAACATCTTGTAATGGGAGAGCATTTACCTTCCCCCTCTGTCTCCTAAATCTGTTCTATTGCTCACTGAGGCCACCCATCACATTAAAGGACCAATCAGGGTAGATTAGTTGTTCTCAGTGCCCCCCATTGTAGGTAGTTGTTGTTACAGGCTTACAAGTTTAGACATAGGTAAAGGGTGAGGTGTTGGGAAGGGGGTGTTTAAAGGTTAAGGTATTATTTTAGAGAAGGGTTAACTTATCCAAGATATAAAGTGTTACATGTTAGAGGGTGATCTTGTGTAGGGGATACTCTTTATTAAAGCAGTATTAGGGGATCTGCAGATTTTTCCCTTGTTCTTTGCACTCATTTTAATATAAATAAGAAGTCTCCTTTCAGAGAAATATGCTAGAAGTGGCAACCCTATAGATATCTTGAAATGACAGTTCTCCTACGCAGTGCAAGAACCTTAATAAAGGATTTCTGGAAAGTCAACTGACATACTGTAGATCTGGATGTCTCTATTCTGTATTACCCTCTCCTTTAAAAAGTTATTAGGCTTCATTAAAAAAAAAAGTGCAAAATAGCCTTCTTGCCCTCTGTGACCAATCATGTTCCAGCTTTCATTTTTGCAGGTCAGGTTTGACAATGAAAGGCAAATCGGTTTGCTAAGGGAAACAAGACCATTTATACCTTAGGACAGCAATGACATATGAGGTCCAGGATACCACATTGCAGTGAAGCCTAAACTTCTTCCAATTACCTTTTTTTTACCAGACATGAAACTGCACAAAGACCCATACAAACCACACAAAACTATTACGCAAATCAAAATGCTGCCAGTAATGCACCAAGGAACCAGGTAAAATATACAGTTTTCAATATGTATAGCAGATATAGACAGCTCCTTTAACCTGGCCATACAAAGAGCAAATTTCAGATGGTTCTTAATGACCTGGCCGAAATTTGACAAAGGTAATCCTGTGCACAGGGCTGTATTTACAGAACACGCTGCCCTGGGCACGTATATCTGACAGTAACATTTTCACTGTATCCAGCCATTTTGTCTTGTTACTGAGAAAAGTAACAGAAGCACCATTCATGTGCAGACCAACCAATAACCAATAGGCTGCAGCATCCTTTCATCAAGAGCCTGCAGAAGGTCTGCAAATCCATGTATGTTCCTGAGCAGCTGAGAGTCTTGTAACCCCTGTAAGAAGCTTCTGCACCCAGTGTTACTGCTTCTCCATCCTCCATTGCTTTAAAAGAATCACTCATGTGACCTCAGTGCTCCATTAAAGAGCCAAAATGGGCACAGCAGATATTTTTAGAGGTTCGCATTGTACTTGCATATCTATGTTCAGGAGTACCAGTTAGGCTGATGCACAGCGGGAAAAGGGTAGTAAAATATGCGGTTGAACCTCCCCTGACTGTCTGCCTACAAAATAACATGGTGACTGCTCAGGACCATACACTTTGCCAAGCTGTGATGCTTCATGGCGAATTTAACCTTAACTTGGCACGTCACGTTTGGCATGTGGTGCTGCCTCCCAGACATGCCCATTAATGTCAATGGGACTGTGCCGCAACCGCGCTGAGCAATTGCCACGCAGCTTCACTGCAGTATAGCAATGCAAAATACCCTTTCATATAAAGAAAAAAAGTAGGCATTCAGCCAGTGGCAGTATCACTTTTTGAATGCCTACAACCCGCAACTGAAAAGTGATCCACTGTAAAACCTCTGCCGCCAGTGTGAACGAAGTCTAAGGTCCAGTTCACACAGGACGATCTGGTATTCCTGCGGCAACAACCTATGGATTCCCCTGATAGGATTCCCAGGTGTCCCCGTTCAGATGTGGCCACTATACAGGTTGAAGTAAATGACAAGGTGCATGTGTAAGCGGTAGTCGGTATGTAACCATACATGGTACGATTAAATGCGGTTTGGGATAGATGATTGTTGCTGGATGCAGGAGAGATGCATACAGGGACAATCATCGACCCCAAACTGCATGTAATTGTGACCATGTACCATCGCAGATGTTCTGGGATTTCTGCGTCAGGATGCTGCTGCTGCACACATTGAAGTAAATGACGGTGACAGCGGCCGCATCCTGCTGCAGGAAGACCAGGACGCACATAAAAGCCCGGTGTGCATGAGGCCTGTGTATAAATAGTGGCTGAGAAATTGTTATGTGATAGCCAACTAGGAAGTAGACCCCAGAAAGCCCAGAATGGGGTGTCCTAATACTGCATTACTGCTAATCTGAAATCCTTTCTTCATTTCACAGGACAAAACCTTCTCTGATGTCTTTACCATATCACACAATGTGCCACGAAGGTATGTAATGATTATATGCTGCGAGAGGAAAGTACTATGGTGAAAATGAACGCCTACAATGCCATGAACAGAGCCTTGTTTACAGAAGTGAGACCTACAAATCCCACGTTCTGTGCTCTATCAATGCCAGCCTATCACATGAAACTTCCTATGTCCTATGCATATTATAGTAGGGAACATACCATCCCTGCCGGATGCTTTCCTTCCTAGTAGTAACTGTGATATTGCAAAGAAGGGAAGTGAAGCAATCAGTTTGATTTATTCCCCCCCCCCCCTTCTCTTGTTATAAAGCTGAGCTCTAGGCACAGAAACTTCAATTCAAAGAAGAACTCTGGGATTTTTTAAAAAGTTAACCCTTGAAGTGGGGCTACCCCCGCACTGCAAGGGTTAACTGCTCATTTTTCTCTAGGGGCGAAAACAAAAAAGAAATACCTAATCCTCAGTCCTTTCTGGCTGCTAGACCAATCCCTGCCGCCTTTTTCCAAGGCTTTGGTGGTCTAAGGACCTGTGACATCATCACATGTAATATAGGTCTATTAGGTGTGAAGATGCTGAGGGATATACCATAGCCGGAGCGAAGGGGCGAGAGGTGAGCGGTCACTGCTGCTGGATCAAGGATCAGGTGAGTATTTCTTCTATAGTCCGTCCACTAGATAAAAACGAGCAGTTAACCCTTGCAGTGTGAAGGGTACCCTGACTTTAAGGGTTCATTTTTAAAAAATCCAGGAGTCCTCTAAATATATTCTTCTCTATTCACAAATGCGAGAAATCTTTGTGTGCACCACATTACCTTGTAAAGTTAGCCGTGACATTATCACTGTGCTGTACATAGCCTGTGCAGAGAGAAGAGCTGTGGGAGGGGACCCAGCAAGCCCCACCCACTATAGGCTGCCTGAAGAAAACTACAGGAGGGGGCGGGAACAAGACCAGTCACCCTGCACAAGGAGAGAAAGCAGCAGTGACTGGTCTGAATTAAAACCAGTATCTCCTGCACATAGGCGGGAGTTGTTTCGTGCTGGATCCCAGCACAGATCTGAAAGGTCACCACGTTTCAAGTAAGAATACACATGGCTCTTGTATGTAGACCAGTGACGTGCCTTGCCTTCTGTGCTGGGTGAGGCATAGCTCCGCCCCATCCCACAGAACCCCGCCCCAGCTTGTCAACCAAGCTGTGTGGGGTGGATGAAGGGAGGAGACAGGGAGGCTCCTCCCTGTCCTTCACTTGTTCGTCACTGCTGAGGCATCAAGATCGATGGCCATGTGTATTCAAGTTTTTTTTTCTTTTTTTATGATTGGACAGCTTGGACCGATGGCACTTTGCCATTGGTCCAAGCCATCCACAGAGCTCACGCCTCTAACACAGAGTAGAGGCTGTGACAGCGCAGTGGGGAAGCCTAACTACCTGTCAAAAGCCGGATGCCTGTAATTAGCAGGCAGTGCTCCGTCCATGACAGGTTACACGGCGGGAGGCTTTCCCTGTTGTGTAACCTGTAACAAGCCGATCTGAATAGAGAAAAAGCTGTCAGGTTCAGACTTAAAGCTGACAGCTTTTTCCTCCATAATACTAGGTGAGGCTCTGCCTCCCCTGACTACACGTCCCGGATGTAGACAATATTTGTTCGTCCGGATTTCAGCTTTAAAGCAGCGGAAGAGAGCTTGAAGCTGAAAAGTTGCTGTTACATATTTGCCTTTTCAGTTTGTCACTCCTAACATGTTTTTTTTTTTATACTTCAGACCACCAATGCCTGCCGTCAGACCACAGCCTGCCCGCCCCCCTCCACCCCGACCAACAGAGACTCCACATTACAACTGGTAGCCAATCGTCTGACGACAATGACCATTAAACATTCATTTGTGTCAGGAAAGAACCCGATGTTTCTTATTTCACCAAAGCTTTATGTGGGACGAATAACATTTCCTGCGAGCTGGTGCTAGTGCCATTGCCCAAATCCTGACTGCTTCTGTGCCAACACCACAATGAAGGGGATACAATGAAGGACTCTAAGACAATTTCCTGGATGGTTTGAAGGAATACTTCTTTATTATGCACTTTTATAAACATGTATGTGAATCATTTGTGTGAAATGCCCTATAGGCTGCAATAATGTGATACCTGTGTCTATCAAATATTCCTCTCAGACCTATTCACTGTATTATGCTGCTCCAGGAGGGAAATAATTAAAGGGGTTTTGTAATTTATCTGTGCATGTACTCAAGCCCTTCATCATCATAGAAGGGAAGGACCAGTGGTGGCGTAGGGCAGAATGGTATCTAGCTAAGGTAGCATTATTGATCACACTCCCATCCCTTTGGCTGTTAAAGAGACCCTGTCACCAAAATAAAAAAAATGTAGGTAAAGGCACACAAAAAATACATTAAAGGGTCATTCCACTTTCCCAGTTGAATTTGGGAAAATGGAATTATCCCCTCCAATCTGGCCCCCTCTCCCCCCGTTATACCTACCTTCGGGCGAATGCTCCTTCCTCCCAACCAGAAGGGGTGTATTATCCATACCCCGTACTGATTGAAATTCGATCGCAAATGGTGAGCACTCAACATTTGAGAAGAGCACCTTGCTAAAAGCGCTTCTCTTTGGTCAGCACAGTCAGATTGCCGCGCTGAGCAATGAGTGCTGTCACTTGTAAGCGATCCATCCAAACTATCCATACCCCAGCAGTATGGAGCATGGTTTTGGAGCATTTGGCCAAAGGTAAGTATAAGGGGGGGTGGGGGGGGGGGCACTGGGGAAGGTGGTCAGATTGGAGGGGGTAATTCCATTTTTCCAAATTCAACTAAAAAAGTGGAATTACCATTTAAATGCTTACTTGCAGTGTTTTCCTTCCTATATGATTCTTTATTCACTGCCAATGTGTCCTTAAACATGATAACAAATTTGACTACTCCATGAAAAGTCAATTTCCTAGCACAGCTCTGCATGGGTTAAATGCTCATTAGATCTAGAGGGAGGTGAAGAGGCTACTGGTTTACTGCAGGAGCATGAATGTTGTTGATGGACCCTTGGACATCTACCCAGCGCTAGGCTCCTATCTAGGTTGCCTGGTGGATGATCTGGCTCTGGAAAGCACCCATTCCAGTTTGGCATCGTGAACAGACCTTCTCCTGTATACTAAGCGGTCATTGGCACAAGAGCAAACAAGTCTTCCTAGCTTTAGAAGGCAAACCTAGAATGGGAAACATACTGAAGGGAATTTTTCAAAACTGGAGCAGACAGGACCTGGAGCAGTTGTCCATGGCAACCAATCAGCATCTCTCTTAATTTTGCTCAGGAAGATTTGAAAATGAGACAGAGAAGCTGATTGGTTGCCGTGCAAATCTGCTCCAGATTTTGCCTGCTCCAGTTTTGATAAATTCCCCCCATTGCATGCTTATATACTGGCCCTCTGCAAGTTTGCTTAGCCATTTCATGGGACTAATTTAATACCTTGCAACATTTTGCCAAATTTTGGCTGGAAGTGTTCCGTTGAGAAAAAAAAACATGGTATAAGTTGAAACTCCCAAATCAAGCACCAGATATAAGAGCCTCTGCTTGGTGCATGTTTTATGGAAAAATGGACAATTACAGGGTTATTCACAAAAGGGTGAAGGGTTTGGAGAAGGCAGGAGAAGTGAACAATCCAGGACAAAGTAGCTGATTCAGAAAAATTCTCCAATTCAGCTCACTTTCCAGTTCAGCTATGTTGTCCTAGATTGTTCAGTTCTCCGGTCTTCTCCAAACTCTTCGGTGAATAACCCTTTTAGTCATTGTTCGCACCTAAGCGTTCTGTGAACGCGCACCAAACTGCATGTCGTGTGCATGCTTTGATGTGCGTTCACGGAACGCGTAAAAAAACGTGCAGTGTGCTTGCTAAGCCATTACATGTTATTGGCACCCCAAATGCGGCTGAGCAATTGCACCTTCCCACTATGCGATGGTGTGAACAGGGACTAAGATTTTGCTAGTTTCTAACATAGTATTACCACACTAAATTGACTCTCTGCCATGGTTACAAATCAGTTTTTCCTTGTGACACTTTGGGGTTGTAAAGGCTTTTGCCCAGCATAGACCTGGGTGATTGCCATTCGCACAGCATTACAGCCACTAGATGGCACCGAGGAGCATTGGAAATTCCATCTTGTGGCTATACTGCAGGGAAGGCTTTAGGCATTAGTCTCTTTTCAGTGACCAGTGTTTTGACCAGGTCATCCTGGAATTTGTTCAAAGCCAGGAAACGCCTCTAATTTCCGGAATGTCAGCAAACAAGAAGGAAGTCACCTTATTCATGGAAAACTCTGGTGTTTATGTCATGGATATCTGCTGCTTGCAAAACCTTTTCATTGTTCTGATAGAAGAACCGGAAAACAACATGTACAAAAAGTGCAGTTAGTGCATTGATTTTTGATATATTAAAGTGAACCTTTCACTAGTTCAAGTGTATAGAGTGGGGAAGGATTACACCCTATGTCAAGTTTTTTTGCTCTGTTCCCATTGGTCACTCTGTCTGTACTGGTGACCATTGTCATTGAACTGCAAACTGAGGGGAAAGCAAACATTTTAGAGTTGTCCCCATAACAAGACAGAAGAGGAAATCTAACGCTGGCAATACACCTATAGATTATCTGCAGACTTTCTATGGTCAGCTGGAAAAAGTGCAACAGATTCCTCCATCTACGCTAAACTGTGTGGATGGAGGAACCTCCCGCTGGGCCAAGCTCCAGTATCTTGCTAGTTGGCCCTTTACCAGGGCCGACTAGCAAGATACGTTGTGCGTTGAGTAGATGTGCTACTCAACGCACTAGGCTTATGTCTACAGACAGCCAAGTCATTACCAAGTACAG